TGCCGTCCAGATATATTTATTATCAAGGGAGATAAGCTGCAATAAGAAAAATATATATTTATTTATTTATTCATTTTTATTTCTGAAATTAATGATTAGAATTCATATACTTCATAGCTTACCTTGACGACTCCAGACTCTTCTTTACACACAGCTACGCACTCACCATCTCGAATTTCTGCGCAACCACTATAATCAATTTTTGCAACTAATCCATCTTTACAGCCTGAATAAAATGATTCTAGCCTAGGATGATCCGAATAGAGAGACCATACGGAGTCTGAATGAACCGTGAAAGTATTTATGCATCTTTGGGCCTTTAATGACCATAATTTTATGGTAGTATCGGACGATCCTGATAATACCTAAAAATATTAAAGTTATATGAGCAACGTTGACGAAGAATTTTATATAAAATTGACCACTAACCAATTCACCATCATCGCTAACTAATATAGCTCTAATGTTATCGGTATGGCCCGTGAAACTGGTGATTTGTTTTGTTGTGCGTGGATCCCACAAACGGACAACCTATGAAAGGAATCACTAATTAACTTTATGCAGTTATTAGCAAACCAATACATAGAAAGCTTACCTTTTCCGGTGATCCTGAAGCAAGAACAGTTCCTATTGGATTACAAGCCAGTGCATACACTGACAGCTTTAGCGATGATTCTGCTATTGTCGCTTATTACAAACCAAATTAGATATAAATGTTAACGATAAAGTAATGATAAATCTAACATTTATATTTATTAATTACTATTTTTTACCTATCGGAGGTCGTTCATAGTCAATATTAATCGAAGAAATTCCAAAAGATGAAGGTCTACATTCTTTTATATCCCACATAATTATTTTTCTATCAAAACCGCCACTGGCGACCCAACCGGGACCAGGAGCATAAGCTAAAGTTTTTACATAATCAGTGTGACATCCGATGGTATGAGGAGTGTGACTGTTTGATTTATGAGGATGCCAGAGGTTTATTTTGCAGTCCGAAGAAGCAGAAATTACTGTGAACATGAACATAAATCCATAAACAAAAAAAAGGTCACTATTATTAACCATGACTACGACTATAAACAGTATCAGAATTTACTGGACAAATTAAATTTATTTGGCCATTTTGGTAATCGGCAGGCCGAAAAACATATGGTGGTGAGTCAACAAAGATCAAGCAAATTTTTTATAATAAAATTTTCTATAACTTTAATAATAACTTAACCAATTTAATAAAAAAAAATTTTTAAATAAATACTACAAACTTGTATAATTAATTTTTAAAAAAATTTTTATTAAGCTTGGTTAAATTTTTCTTAAGTTATCTTTGCTTAAAGGTTTTTAAAATATTTGCTTGGTTTCTATCGACTCAACTCCCTATAAAGTTGGCCGAATCACATTTTGGCCGGCCAAAATTTGAGGTGGGAGAAATTCCCAACACTGATTATAAAGTATAAACAAATTTCATACATGATTCATTGTTATGACAAAGTATTATGTCGTTAACCCAATCAGTATGGCTTTGGAAAGATTGACGAAACGTTGATGGTGGTTGCTGTTCAAAAATTAGATAATGTTTCAAGTCAATTTTAGAATTTTTCTATCAGATTAATTTGATAGATATTTACCGAAGAAAAATCAATTTCATCGTCGATCTCCCAATTTTTTCTGGGATGGATAAATTCTTGCCTACTACCCACATCATTAATTTCATTGAGGCTTTCGGTGCTTTTATGAATTGATCCATTAATATTCACATTTTTCTTATTTCGAAATGGTAAGTGCAAGTCCCAGGACGCTATTACACCATCTCGCCCAGCAGAATAAAGGATTCCCTCTGGTTTTCCTGTCTCTGGATTGGGTGTTGTTATGTCTAAGGCCAAAGAATTAATGCCTAAAAGATGACCATGGTCATCCTTATTGTGAGTAATAACATATGATACTCGACGTCGAGAAGCACGTCTCATTGAATAGTTGAAATTAAATACAAATATGTAGTATTATAAATGATTGTAATGTAATAAGAACGGATTGATCGCGTTTTAAATTATATAAATATAGCATTAAAAAAAAATATAAATCTGAAGACGAGGTATTGGTATGTTGTGCGTACTTTCTGCATTTATATCGATATTTAAATATTTCTGTGTAATGTGTGTAACATGTGTTACATGTGTTACATGTGTAACAGACGTAACGTTAACATGCAGATGAATAACAAATTTATTTTTTAGATAATTCAAGTTAATCAGATAAGTTATCATGCACTTTGAATATGCTAGATTTGTTCGTAAAACCGTTTTCACTTCCGTAGGTCATCAATTTCAACGTATCATATCACAAAAAAAGGATACTTTAAGCAGAGACAAAACAGTAAAAACATTTATGCGATTGAATGGCGGAAAGATTATCGCTGCAGTTACAATTGGAGGAAGTACTCTTGCCGTATTAATAAACTTATATACGAATTTTACTCAGTATGATATAATTTCTCCTGATAAATTTATTCCTTTAACTATAAATAAAATAACTCCAGTTAATCATAACACGAGTATTTTTCGTTTGAAATTTCCGAAACCGCTAAAAGAAAAATTGCCAATTACGTCTTGTTTTCATATTAAAGACGATTCAATACAAATCGTTCGCGAGTATACACCCATATCTCCAACAGACGAAAGAAATTACATTGAGTTTTTAATCAAAAGATATAATGATGGATACTTATCTCGGTATATTCATTCCTTAAAAGAAGGTAATATTGTGGAGGTGAGAGGTCCGATATTGACCTTTCCTTATACACCAAACATGAAAACACATATTGGGATGGTTAGGATTATTTTCATATGCTGTTTCTATTATTATCTTATTTTTTTCGAATCTCCTGATGAAATACCAAAATAATTATTTATAATTAGATCTGTGGTGGAACCGGGATAACTCCAATGTAAGAATTGCCAATTTTATTCATGATGATGATTGATTTTTTAAATTAAGTAAATATATTGACAACAGGTGTTGTCATTCAGGTATCAATTAATTAACCATATCCTGTGCAATCCTGATGATAAAACAAAAATATATATGATCTATGCAAATGTTACCAAACAAGATATTCTTCTTCTTCGAGAACTAGATCAATTATCTCAAGAACACCCCGATCAATTAAAAATCTTTTATACTCTGGATCAACCTCCTTACAATGAATTATGGACACAGGGTGTTGGTTATGTATCTCAAAATGCAATTAAAAATCTTATCCCTGGACCTCAAGAAGATGTGCTTATACTCGTTTGTGGACCAGAAGGGTAAACATTACAAATTATTCTACAGTATCTGCTACTATAATTTTTCTTTATTATTGATGATATAATACTTCAGGATGATTCGATATGTAAGCGGTGACAAGGCGAGAGATTTATCGCAAGGTCCTGTTGGTGGTATATTGAAAAACCTTGGGTATAAACAGCATCAAGTTTTTAAATTTTGAAATAAGTGTCGTTTTAGGTAAAAAAAAAAAAAAAAAAAATCTTATGTAATGCATAAATTTATATTTTTCTATCGTTGTAGATGCTATTCCAATAAAACAAAACAAAATAAAAATAAACTTATCTTTTTTTATTATAAATTTCACATGAGACCGCAATGATTTCTATAAAGACAGCCCTAATCTCTTAATTTATTTTTTCTCGGCTTGCTTTTGAAGCTGGATAAGATGCAGCCAGAGATAGTTCTATATCATTGCAATAGTTGATATAGAAACAGTTTTAGACTTGTATTTTATAATGAGTACCGCGATAGACTTTTCTCCATTAACATATAAATATCGTGACCTGCGTTTGTTCCTGTGGTTTATAAGTTATACTCACGTTAATAGTAGCACATAACAATGCCACCACTTTGACGCATTCGAGTCTTGAGAATAGATAGAATTAGAAGATATAGCAGCTCCAGTGATAAATTGCCACTAGACACTTCCGATTACTTGAGTGAGGTCCAGCAAGGTCCAGTAATGTTCTGCAATATTAGAATGTATATATGCCATGCATTTTCTTTCAAATGGTTTCGTGTAGTGAGGTAATGCCACTTTAAGTTGTGGTACCTAGCAGCACCTGGTTTGACGGCTTTTGTTAACTGAAAGGCATAGTCGATGAAAGGATGTATATAAATTAGTTGGGCCCACAAAAACCTTTGCACCATTTTAAAGTGGTGCTTATCCCGTTGCCTAGTCTTTTAAAGGCGTGTATTTCGCGTTCTGTGTTACAAGTAGTTTAATCTGAACTCATGGAGTGGAACCTCTGGAAAGAGCTATGCAACACCTATGGTGTCACTTGAGCAGGGTCCATGTTCCATAAATTGAGGAATGATAGAAATCTACGATAAGGTCAAATGTGAAGAGTTTTGGAGGTACCTCTAGTACGCTATGTATCTCGGTTAATCTTCTCTGTCTATACCGAAAGGGACTTTGTTTTGACCTTCCAGCTGGAAGCCTACTGGACAATCTGGCACGCTACCCACTTGGATAGTAATAGTAAAATCGATGTTTATATTGTATATACTAAGACCCATCAATAAAGGAAATGGTAGATTCCTGAAGTAAAGTATGGTTTGCTTGAATACAGTGTTGACTGTAGTCTATGACTTTGGAGTGCTAGTGTAGTCTTCAACTCCCATAGAGATGAAAGTGTCTATTTAGTGAAACGCGGGGAGGGAGTGATCACTCTTTGTCGATAGACAGCTACATTAAGCATGGAAAAAGCTACAGGTAGATTATATGGATAAGAATTTTGGTGTAAACTTCAAACTGGTTGGAAAATTAGGCTGACTACACCGAACTCGTCTGGTAAGCACAGACCGAGGTATAGCGCATGAAGTGGTCATCATGCTAGTTTTCGGTGTTTGTATGATAGGTATTGTTTATAATCGATGCGTCCCTGGATTAGGAAGCGTCTTCTCAGACGTCCAGGTTGGCTGGATGATTAATCAGTATTATATCACACTTAAGGAATCTGTAATTGCCTCTGTTGATTATGAATTGTGTTGCTCTGGAACGGAAGACTTGGTACACTTGAAGTAGTCCATTTGCCTAGAAATAGGGAAGGTTCTAGGAATGACAAAGTCTAAAGCCTAAAAGCAATGCCAACGGTGGATGCGACCGGTGTGGTATTTCAAGTGTGTGGGTCGTAGCGGGTAGGCTATATGGTCTTAATATGCACTTTTCCTGTATCACCTTTAAGATTAGCTTGAAGTTGAAAGAATTCACTTTTGGAATCGAAGAAACAGTTCGAACCAAGTGTATACCGATGCCTCCTACGATTAGCGCGAAGAGGTCAACGATAGGAGGAACATGGTAAGAAAGGCTAGTTTCGAAAGAATTCTAGTTACACCTGGCTCTGTCTATTGGTGCCAACAACACGGTGGTACGAACCATCGGGTGGGGACAACTTGTTACTTGATTATAAGCTTTGAAACCCACTGGTCGGTCCTGTTATCCGTTTCAACCACAACCAGGTCAGCTATGTTACAAACCAGTTGTTTGTGACTGTCTTTTGGAAGGCGAGAGACCTTCGCCAGATTTAGACTCTTTGGATGGGCACACTGTTTCGTGATGTTAAGATAGGTTTTGGGTAATCCACTTTCCTTATTGCAAAAATGCACTATTAGTAATTCGCAGGCAAATAGTGGCTATCTTTTCATGGACCATTATTGCTGCCTAATTGACTTGATAGTCCTTGCCTTTTTTGCTAGCTAATCTGTTACTAATGTTTACCAAATTAGACCATAAAAAAGGCTTTTTTTTTTCTATTTAAAACAATAAACTAATTTATTCCAATTTTCAGCTAACCTCTTTTTACTGTAAATCTATACTCTTCAAATAATATATTTCTCTCAAAATTGTTATACTTGAGCTTCGAACACTTTTTCAAATTCATACTCAAAATATTCTTGAATTATTACTCTTTTTTTGATATACATATTGATTTTTTAAAACAGATTACATTTTATTGATTATCGAAAATTAATTATACAAAATTCAAATATTTATTAACTTTATTAAATACTTATAAAAATATTACCAAACTTCCGTAAAACAGTAAATAAAAAAATAAAATAAAATAATAATAATAATAATAATACAGTAATAATAATAATAATAATAATAATAATAATAATAATAATAATAATAATAATAATAATCAAAAAACTCTTTTCGCTAATCCTTTGTACCAAAAACAGACAGAAAGAAAATTAACAAGTAGTGCAAAATCAAGCATAGATTACAGTACAAGCACTACTAAG